GGCACACTTAGACACTGCTGGTGGGACTGCAAATTGATGCAACCAATCTGGAAAGTAGTATGGAGATTCCTTAGAAAACTTGGAATGGGACCACCATTTGACCCAGCCATCCCACTCCTTGGTTTATTCCCAAAGGACTTAAAATCAGCGTACTACAGTGACACAGCCACATCAATGTTTATAGCAGCACAATTCACAATACCTAAATTGTGGAACCAACCTAGATGCCCTTCAATAAATGAATGGATAAAGAAATTGTGGTACATATACACAATGGAATACTACTCAGCACTAAAAGAGAATAAAATCATGGCATTTGCAGGTAAATACACAGAGTTGGAGAATATCATGCTAAGTGAAGTAAACCAATCCCCAAAAAACAAAGGCTGAATGTTTTCTTTGATAAGTAGATGCTGATTCATAATGGGGGTGTTGAGGGTAGCATGGGAGGAATGGAGGAACTTTGGATAGGGCAAAAGGGGAGGGAGTGAAGGGGTTGGGGCATGGGGGTAGGAAAGACAGTGGAATGAGATGGACATCATTACCCTAAGTACATGTATGAAGGCACGAATGGTGTACTTTGTGTACAACCACAGAAATGAAAAATAGTGCTCCATTTGTGTACTACGAATTGAAATGCATTCTGCTGTCTTGTATAACAAATTAGAATAAATAAATAAATTTAATAAAAAGATTATCATTAAGAGCAAAGTGCACTTTCTTTTGGTTGAGTTTAGTCAGCATCAGAGTTTTTCTTCTCCACAGTATGAGGTAGGATGAAATGGGAAGTGCTATGTGTTGGAGTTTTGTCTGCACAGGCCAAGTTTATGTACTTTAGGGTGGGGTTGCTGCACAGTTCAATGTGTGGTGCTCCAGTGGGTAGGACTAGGTCTATTTAGGCCTCAGGGGTTTTGTTGGGTAGTGTCTGCTCTGGAGAGATTAGATGAACATACCACTAGGACTTGGCAGTGTGGATCTCTGTTGAGAGTCTGGATCTCAGGAACCTTCTAACAGTTCAGCTGGGGGAAGGAAACCAATTCTTCACTTCCTCTGATGCCCACAAACACAGCCATTCCAGGCTCCCCTGACTTAGTCCCTAAGTGTATTCACATCCAAGCTATTCAGATTCTGGACCTGCTTCAGCTGGTCATGTGAGCCACCAGAATCAAAGACAGAAACAAGTTGGGTCTCCTTCACTTTCCTTTTTTATTTTTAAGTTTTTGTTATCAGGGATTGAACCTAGGGGTACTTAACCACTGAGCCACATCCCCATCCCCCTTTACTTTTTATTTTGATACAGAATATCGCTAAGTTGCTTAGAGCCTTGCTAAATTGTGGAGGCTGGTTTGGAACTTTCAATCTTCCTGCCTCAGCCTCCTGAGCTGCTGAGATTACAGGAGTGGACTACCATGCCCAGCTTTCCCTTGGCTTTTCTGACTTGAATCCCCTGGGTACATCCTGAATTACATTTTTTTTAAAACACTGATTGGGCAGAAATAAAATGACTACAAATAATAGGAAGAAAAACAACTAAAAGCTGTGAAGTGACATCAGAAGTCCTGGCTTTTCATGGTCCAGCTATGACACTGGGCAAAGCACTCAACCTTTTTGAATCTTAGTTTTCTCATCTGTAAAAGTGAGGTTGATGAAGATAATTTCCAAGGTCATTCCTGCCCTCAAGGTTCTATATTCAATAGTATACCCAAGAAATGGAATGAAAAGCTGGCTCCTCTTAGTTTTAAGAACAGGTAGGCCTTGTTTTCACCTATCAAAGAAGGAGTGAATCATCTAACTGAACTAAGGATCTATGACATATCTTCCAAAAAGAAAGCCCTCAGAAGCTATAATCCAGCATTGGTCCTGGAATAGTGGTTTTCTAACACCTCTGACCTTTAATATTTTTTTTCAGCAGTAAAGTCCTTTCTTCAAATGAAGTATTTCAGAAAAGTCCACTTTATCAAACATCATGGGGCTGGGGTTATGGCTCAGCAATAGAGTGCTCGCCTAGGCACGTGCGAGGCCCTGGGTTCAATCCTCAGCACCACATAAAAATAAATAAATAAAGGTATTGTGTCCAACTATAACTAAAAAAATAAATATTAAAAAAACATCATGTATTACCAATATAAGTGGAATGCTTTTAGTTGTACTGAGATGGAGCAGACGGGGTGAAATCATGAGGAACCAATTAAAAATGAAGATAAAAGAAAAAGAATTAACTTGACTAAAATAAAATGGTTCATATAAGCATTACTATTCTACCTTTCACTGTAGTCTCTAAGTTTTCTAGGAATGTTAAAAATTATGCTCATTATAAGCAAATAATGTTGCTCTTGTCTTAGATGACCTACTGTGAACACTATGCCTGGGAATAATCAAATTCTGTTGGTAGAACACTTATGAAAAACTTTAAAACTCTGAATGCTTTGGAAATGTGTCCTGCCACTGAATTACCAATTACCTTTCCTACTCAGTAATTTTGGCTCTATGCTCACTGTGGTTTGGCATGTGTCATGCTAATGTGGGGGAGTAAAACATGGAGAGAGACTCTAAACAAGGCCACTGAAGTTTGATAGTAATGAGCTACAGCTCAGATGGCTGAGACTACTACACAGAAAACAGCAAGTGCCAAGAGAGACAGGAAGACTCTAGACCACCACACCAGACCAGAGGCTTCTGAAGGTTTCAAAGCAAATATACTTTACTGCTGAAGGATAAATTTGGGAAGACATTAAGAACCATCTGGAACTGGGGATGGGGAATCTCAGATCACAAATCTGAATTCCTAAAGATAAGACATTTGATGCAATTCTGGTCTGAAGAATACAAAATTTTCACTAGGAGCTCCTCAAGTAATCATTGGTTCATACATTTTTTATGTTTTCTAAGTAAATTAGTCCTTCCTAGTTCTTATATCTCTTTGCAAATGAGAAAATGGAAGTACAGAGAGATTAAATGATTTGAATATGATCAACATAACCATACAAACCACAGGGCATGGAATGGAACCACGTGATGTATACCACTGAATATCTCTGAAAAGTGACCAAAAACCCACTAATAGTGGTCATCATTAGACAAGGAATTTCAGAACTGAGAGGGGTGGACAGAGATTTATTCTTCACTCTTATCTCCTTTTGTTCCTTTTACATTTTATACTATGTGTACCCCTTACTTAAATCCCTAAACATTTAATTATATAAAGCTCTCACAGAATATAGTAGTTCCAACCCATCTCTTTCTTCTCCTCTACAAAGGAGGCCACAGGAGGCTTAGCAGAGACTGAGTGGCCTGTGGCCACTAGAATCTCAGATATGTGTTGGAGATGGTAGAAAGATAGCAAAAAGACTCCAATGTGACAATGTGTAGGGAAGGTCTATAAGAAGCTCTGGAAATAGTAGGGATTCTGGGTCAAGTTAAAATCCATAGGTTTTTAAACATTAGGTGTGATACAGGTATTTATGCTACTAAGATGGATTTTTAGAAATCCACTGGTCACCTGTGGTTCAAGTGATATAGGAAATCAAACTCTACTATATACTAGAAAGGATCTGAAATACTTTTAAATAAAATTTTTTAATATTTTCCTTTGACCCACAAAACATGAAAAAGTAATAAAAATTTTTTTAAAAAAATGAAGACAAACTTACATCTGAGGTGAGGGAGGGTCAAGGGAAATAAAAAGCTAAATATAAGTATTTAAGACATAAGACAAAATAAAATTGTCATAGTGGGTCTTTGATTTTGGCACCAAGCTTCCTGGCAACTAGGACAAAGTGAGAATCTTGAATAGTTCCATGGTTTTCAATACTCACAAGGGGATACCCATTCTAGTTCTTCAAGGGAAACATAACTACTCCTCATGGTAAAAGTCCATGTATATCTGTATTAGTATCCTGTACTTGTGCAAAGTCTAGTAACCCACAGCATTCACTGTCTAAAGCTGCCCTTTCCCCAGCAGTCAATCCTAAAATGAATTTCTCTTGCAGAACTTAATTCATATAAGGGACCCTGGGAGATTCAATGGGTAGTCCACTTAATAATAAGCCCAAAGTAAATGACCTGTTTCTTGCTGTATGAGGCATAACACAGAGCCATGACCCAGGTAGCAACCAGAGGTGCTGGTGGGATGTCAAGCTAAACAGTGAATGAACTAATACTACTTGTTTCTCAGGAAATGTATGACCCAGAATAAGGTCTACAGTATCCATGAATAGACTCTGTGTCCTTTACATGTCTACACATATACCATTTCTCTCCACTGAACTTTTAATAATAATTGCATGGAATGTGATAACCATGGTAACACAAGGTTATTTTCTCTGAAAGGGCCAGAGGAGTAGGTGCTCTCTGTGGTTGATTAAGAGCAGACGAGTAGGCTTCTGTCAGGGGATAACACAGCAGTATGGGGAAATCTAGTCTCTACTCTCAAACCTCTGAAATGGAGGGTGTGCATCAAACTCTGCAAGAACAAAATAGAAATAGCTTAAATGGGAGGCTGCTTTTCTGCCAGGGTGGTCATCTTCATTGTCAGCTGGGGAGACATTCATTTCTGTAGAATCATTGCCCATGTGCAAAGGGACAGTGATGCTGAGAACACCACACTCTGGGAGTGAGCTCAAACCTTGGAAGGCTGTCTGTCTGGTGATTGGGAAACGGTGTGTGGGTATGGGTGTTACAAGGGCAACAGACTCTGGTGCTTCTAAGTGGCTGTTCCTTTTTTTTAAACCTTATGGTTAATGTCACACAATGGTGGAGTTTCTTCAGTAGTAATCAGAAGGAATCAGTCCTTTAAATTATGATATTATCAGAGCAGATGAAGCAAATGTCTCACTTTTGCCCTGGCAAATGAGCCAAATGAGCTGGTAAGAGAATGGAGATTTCTGTCTGCCTGGGAATAAAGTCTCCAAGCACCTATCATCATCATGCCATAACTCAGGGCTCACTCTGTGCAGATGTGGTCAAGGATGACTCTTATCATCCTTAGATCATGCCATTACCTTGAATTTCTCCTCATAGTTCTCAAAAGCTTCCATGACCATACACACGGCCTCCATTGAGCGCTCAAGCCGGCCATCCACTCCATTGAAGCGATACATGCTGCCAGACACATCTACCACCAGGCGCAGACGCTTGGGTTTCTCTTGTGGGCTCCCCAGCTGAGGGAGGGAATGACAGAAAGAGCTTGTGAACTACAATGTCATCAATGGCTGCAGTCCTGAGGAGCTCACACAGGCACCAGAGTGCTAGTCATGAGGTGGGCAGATCAGCTGCAGACTTGACCCTGTAAAAGGTTGATCAGGCTGGTGAAAGATGCCTGTAGATTGAATTTCAGTAACTGAAATTGCATAAGGTAGTTAGGATCATATGAAAAAGATTTTCCTTTGGAATAGAGCCCTTGCAAGGCCCAATCTAGTCTAGTAAAGTTGCCTTTTGGAGACTGGTGCCTTAAAATAATTTGGAAAGATACAAATCCTAACATGTCATTTTCTCTCCATGCCTGGAAGTCAGTAATTCTAGCAAGAGTCTGTTATTTTGGAGGGAAGCCAACATCAATTTTATTTGCAGTCAGTTGAAAACCATTTCCCATGTAGGTTGCAAGAAATACTAGATTTTTAAAACAAGGTTATGGGAGAGGGAGTCTGGCAAATAATCTAAGGAAAATATTTTTTAAATGGTTTTTGTCCTTAGCAAGCTTTCAAATTTCCTTGGAGTTAGTGAACTAGTGCTTTTTTCCTTTTCTTTTCTTGGCAGTTTAAAGCATGAAAGTATCATTAAGCTGATGCATAGAAGCAACTATCAATTAAATGTGAAACTTGAGAGATTCAGTTTGATTTTGGACTCCTATCTGCCAATGTGCAGAATTTTGAAATATCTTGTCAGTTTTACTAAAAAAAAAGAAAGAAAGAAAGGAAGGAAGGGAGGGAGGGAGGGAGGGAGGGAGGGAGGAAGGAAGGAAGGAAGGAAGGAAGGAAGGAAGGAAGGAAGGAAGAAAAATTCCAGGTTATTTTGTTATTGTAAACTTTCTGACATGCATAAACACTAACGGCAGAGCCAGAAATTTCAAAACATGCTCTGGGTATTAGAGGATAATGGTTTGGAGCCAATTCAGTATATTTCTTCAAAACTTTTGAGTGTGTCCAAATGAACAATAGTGCCACACAGGCTTTCATGACTGCTCACAAAATCATATATATCCAACCACATTTGTTGACCACAATGAGTCAGTAAAGAACACAGTTGTTGACTCATCCCAGTGACACAGAAATAAGAACTCCCCAAAGCACCACCAGATCCTCTCTGAGAACACATTTAAGTAGATGGACTCTCCCTGCTCTCTCCAGGCCCTGCTCCCCCAGCTCTCAGTGGGAACTTGGCAATTCTGGTTATGTAGGATATAGGAAATCAAGAGACTCATATTTCACTCTGTTGCCATTATATGGCAAAGTTTTCAAAACTATAGCTAACTGAAACTTGACTTAACACAATGAGAGTTAAAGGAGAATTCCTTATTTCCTAAAATTTTCTTAAATCCCAGGATGGACACAGATCTTTAAAGGTACAGAATAGTAGAAAACCACCAAGATGGCTCTATTGCTCTCACTTGAGGAATACTCTAGGATTCAGAGACAACAGGGTGCATCAGTTTCCCTTCCAGGGCAACTGCTCTGTGTCCCAGGAGTGGGATGGGCCAATGGGCAGCTCTCTTGGCTACTGGCTTCCAGAGTTTTCTGCCAATGGGAGGCACTGTCAGATCAGAATGAGAGGCTGGGGGTGGGTTGTTACCTCAGCTTTTTCTCTGCTGTTGCCCAGGGGTGGGCTCTACCTCTACCAAAGGCCACAGCTCCATGAACTACTTTCTCCAGATTCCAGAACTGCTCTCCTGCTCTGTGTGTTAGACTTCAGGGCAGAGTCAGATCCCCGCTGATGTCAGCCTGGGTTATCACAGTGAATCTTTTGGCTTTCCTAAATCCACCCTTATCTTTGTAAATATGCTCTAAATTCTTCTGTATTCACTGCTACTTAAATTACCCAGTCTGAGTGTGCCTTGTGTTTCTTGCTGAGACCTTAACATGTACAATAAATAGTATAATATTTTTGTTTTTTTCTTCATCATTATCTTTTTTTTTTTTTTTTTTTTTAGTATAATGCACCAGGGTTTATGATGTTTTGACACACAACTCAAGAAAGTGAGTTTCTAGAAACAAGGCCAAACTAAGCCAGTCTGATGCTACCAGTCCTCCACTACTTACTTGTGGCTCCAGCTCACCCCGACGTTTGTAGATGGTTTTCTCTCCAGTCAGCCCATCAATGATCTTGGCATCATCTAGTTCTCCAGTAGCTTGGTGTTTTAGCCACTGCCTTTCTTTACCTTTAGCCTAGGACACACAAACACATACACATAAGTCTTTATTTTTAACGAGTTCTGCAGGATCTTTGACACACTTTCTGCATGAATAACAGGAAACACACCAGGGAACTTTTCAATACGTGATGGTTCTGCATAAACACAACTGCAGAAATGAACTGGTTTCTGTTCTGCTGACAAAGAAATGCAATTTATGTGTATTTTGTTAGTTTTAATTGTTTTAACATATGGAACACTTGAAGGGCATATGGACAGGAAGACAGTATGAAAATGACCCCCTTAAGAAAGTTCTATATCTGGAAAGGTAATGATGATACATTTCCTATGGGTTTTCTGTCTCTGTTCTTCTAGAAAATTTATTAGGTACCTAAATAATCAGCTTGAACTTGTTGACATTGTCAGAAATCCCAGAGAGAATGTGATCTTCAGAAGTCTTCCTTTTGGAAAGAAATTTGCTACTCAAATTCTCCGTGTCTTATTGTGTACATGGAAATAGCTGGAAACAACAGTATCTGAACATTTTGTACCCCACATGTCTCTGATTTTCTATATTCTGAAATTTTCTGAATTATTTTTCTAAGGTATTTTCACATAACATTTTGCCAAAACACAACTAGATCAGGTGATAGTTAAATGATAAAGAACTGTAATATCCCAATAAAGGCATGTGTTTATTGCAATCCATGAGTATAATTACCATAGAAGGGGGAAGAATAGTTAAAATGTTTTAATGCATGTAAACAAGATTATAGGATGTATTTCATTTCTAGAAACACCAAAATATGAGAGGAGAGTGGACTTATAGTTAGAATTTCAGCATTTTATAATTCCTCCATGGCAAAATGATGGGGTTTAAATTTAATTTTATAACAATTATGATCTGCATTTAAAAATCACAAAAATTACTTACTGGGTAGCCTTTACAACAGTGAAACCATCACTGGTTAATACAAGCATGTAGCAGCCAGGAGGACTGGGAAGGGCATGATCAGGGCATTGCCTTGTCAAAATTATTTATGAAACTTAGAAAACCAATGTTTGATAACAATGGCACATGTGTTACCAAACATGTTATATAATTTTATTCTGATACTAATTCTGTATTGCTCTTAAACCCAGCTCAAAAATTAACTTCCATGCCATTTCGATGGTGGCTGAGCATTGTGACCATGTTTTCTTTTACTTTCTTAACTGCTTATTTTTCCATTTGACAATCCTGTGAGAGTCTGTCTTCATCTATGAGAGGCATTAGAAGACTGAGCTCTGCAGCTTGGTACCTCCAAGAGTATTAGAATGTCACATTGAAAGGTACCTAAATGGTCATCCATGGTGTTGTTTCCAAGCATAAATTATCCTGGCAGTCTGAGGGATTACCCACTCCTGATTCCAGAAATGACAAAAAAGAGGAGACAGGAGTTAAGTCCCAATTTTTGGTACGGGGAGGATGGCACTGTGCGATCAAGGTTGTCTTGTCTGATTATTGAAATGTGGAAAGTATTCTGGAAGTCTGTGTTTACTCGCTCCTTCTACCACCTATAACTCTGTATCAAGTTTTATATGACAGCAGCTTTGCTCCAATATGCCCCATTTCCATGTGAGATCACGGGGTTCTTATGAAGAATATACATCTGGGAAAGATACACTTCTAATATTTACCTGGTACAGTGGTTCCAGGACCTGCCCATCAAAATTAAAATCTTATGCTGGTGACCTAGGGGTTTCCATTTATTTACATTAATACATCTACATTAAATATGGTAATTTTAATAAAGGATTAGTATCTAAAAAGCTGTTAAAACTCAACAGTAAAGAAAAAGTTTTAAAAATGGGTAAAAGACTTGAGAAGGCACTTCATTAAAATAGTCACATTGGCTGGCCGTGGTGAGCACATGCCTGTAATCCAGCGGCTTGGGAGGCTGAAATAGGAGGATCATGAGTTTAAAGCCAGCCTCAACAATTTTGCAAAGCTCTAAGCAACTTAGTGAGAACCTGTCTCAAAATAAAAAATATTTAAAAAGGGCTGGCAATATGGCTTAGGTTCATCTCCCCTGGGTCCAATCCCTAATACCTGCCAAAACAAAAACAGATTGATGGTAAATAATCGTATGAAAATATCTTAAACATATGTTAATAGATGTAACATATGTAACATCAAAATAAAACAACTATGAGACATCACTCCAAACGTATTAGAATGATCAGAACCCAAAACTCTGACAACAACAAATGTTGTTAAGGATGCAGAGTCTCTCACTGTGCATGGGAATGAAAAATGGTGTTTCTACATGGGAAGACAGCTTGGCCGCTTCTTCTGAAACTAAAATATTCTTACTGCACCATCCACCAATTGCATGCCTTACTATTTACACAAATGAGTTGAAAACTTCTGTCTACATAAAACTCTGCTGTGATATTTATGGCAATTTTATGTATAACTGCCAAAATTTGGAAGCAACTAAAGTGTTTTTCGATAGGTAATGGATGAATTAAATTGTTGGTACATCCAGACAATAGAATACTATTCAGTCCTAAAAAAAATGAACTAGCAAATCTATTTATAAAGATCCCACTGTAATACAGTGATCTGAAGTAGTTTGTTATTTTAGACATTCTTGTATGTGACTAACTCATCCGAGGGAATTTAAGTTTTTATTCGATTTTCTTTAGTATATTTGTGAGAAAGAAATCCTACTGGTCAGCTCTAGTCCTTGGTATTCAAGGTTAATTTATTACGAGGCAGGTCTTCTAGACCACAAAGTGAACAAATGTTAACTCCTGTGTGAGCTTTGTGAAGTCTTGACTTAGTGATTTCAATTCCTAACCAGCATTATAGGGTCCAGAAGTTGCAATAATAGATTCACAGCACAAGAAGGGAATTATAGGTGACATGGAGCTGGGATGCTGAGGGGAAATGGCAGAGTGATGAAGAGAAACAGAGCCATCACCCGGTGGAGTTTATGTAATAGTTCAACAGCACCGTGGAATTCTTCTTTTAATATTCATGTTAATAATACTTTGTAAAAATGACAGAAGGGACTTCTGTTTAGGGCACATGTTCCTATTACTTTCCTTGGTAAAGGGGTTACTGAATTGAAAATATTTTACTCTTAGAATATGATATTTTTGCAGCATGAATGAAGGGGAGAAATATGCTTTTTTCCAGTAGTCTGCTACCTTTTCTTGCCCTTCCTTCCTCCCTCCCGCCCTGCACCTTCCTCTTCCTCTTTCTCTTCTTCTTTGGTCAATTTCCTGTATGATATGCTTATAATAAAGTACAGAAATCATAAGTGCAGATCTTAACGAACTGTTGTGCTGTGAAAACACCATTTAACTACCTATACCTCTGAAGTCTCCCAGGGCCCTGTCCTGGATTTTACTCTTTGCAAAGGTAACACTTATTCTGATCTC